CGAATAAATTCTACAACGATTTCTTTGAGATGTTAAACAAGGAATTTAACAATATTATGGCAATAAAAAATAAAGATATTCATACCAAATTTGTATTTAGCGATTGGGCAACTGTAGGTATTCGTAAGAGTAGGGACAGACTTTTTGCACTTTATGGAATAAAACCGTACAAAAACGACCCCCAATTTCACCAGTATGTAACATCTTATTCAAAAACCTTTAGAATAGTATGCAGAGTCGCGAAACGTCTTTATATTAGTAACTAGCTGTTGCCCGCGACTTCGTCCGCGTAAAGATTAAAGATTAATGACTTCTGACAGAATTAACCAGAATCAATTCAGTGCAATCAATAGAATGATTTATCGTAGTTTCAATAAATAAATAATCCCGCAGGGATCTTACCAGTACAGTGCCCGATCACGTAAGGTTTGAGTAATAAAAACTAATCTATCGACTATTGTTGTACCGAATCTCTCTAGAATAAGTTCAGTAGTTAAGAGTTAGAGAGTCCTGGGGCATTGACGCATAGTTCCCGTTCTCGTGAGACATCTGTGAAAAAACTATAAACTACTAACTAAAAACCCAGGTCCTAAATCATCGTTTTACCGAATGTAATTCGAAAAGATTCAATGATTCTAAATTCAATGGCTAAGAAGATTTATACAAACTCTCATTCCCTATTTTATCCCCTTAGGGGTGGAATTTATCAAAATCCTTTCTAAGGAGATACCTATGTCATAGTAACTTTATGCATACAAAAACAAAGTCTCAGCCCAATCAATTTAAAACTGGTAAAGTATCATACAAACTTTCACCCCCTATTTTACCCACTTTGGGGTGAGAATGTTCAAAAACTTTTCTAAAGGGACGTTTACGTCATAGGTTTTATCTGCACGCCGAATTTCAACCAGATCGGTGTAAAACTGACAAAGCTTCATACAAACGTTCATCCCCTATTTTACCCCCTTAGGGGTGGAAATTATCAAAATCCTTTCTTAGCGGATGCCTATGTGATAACATCTATCTGCATGTCAAATTTCAATCCGATCGATTTAAAACTGACAAAGTCTCATACAAACTTTCATCCCCTATTTTATCCCCTTGGGGGTGGAAATTATATCAAAATCCTTTCACAGCGGATGCCTACGTTATAACATCTATCTGCATGCCAAATTTCAACCCGATCGATTTAAAACTGACAGTCTCATACAAACTTTCATCCCCTATTTTACCCCCCTGGGGTGGAAATTATCAAAATCCTTTCACAGCGGATGCTTACGTCATAACATCTATTTGCATGCCAAATTACAACCCGATCGGTTTAAAACTGACACAAGTCTCGTACAAACTTTCATCCCCTATTTTACCCCCTTGTGGGTGGATATTATCAAAATCCTTTCACAGTGGATGTTTACGTCATAACATCTATCTGCATGCCAAATTTCAACCCGATCAGTTAAAAACTGACAAAGTGTCATACAAATTTTCATCCCCTTTTTTATCCCCTTGGGGGTGGAAATTATCAAAATCCTTTCTTAGCGGATGCCTACGTCATAACATCTATCTGTAAGCCCAATTTTAGCCCAATCTGTCCAGCGGTTTGGGCTGTGCGTTGATAGATCACTATTTATTTATTTATCAAGGACAACAAACAGCAGTATATTAAATATAACACGGGTGAGTAAAATAATAGATTTAACAAATACACTCCTCACGACGTTGCCACGGATTACCATAAATGTACTTAGCAAACACAATGGGGCAAATTTGAAGCTACAAACTATACAAACATAGGATAAATTTAAATTACAGAATTACTTTTTACCTGTACCTATCTATTATATATTTTTACCTACCTATATATTATATACATATATTTTGTGCACTATATGAATGTGAAACACAAATAACATGTTAAAAAAATAAAATTAAAAAGTCTGGAGTAATTACATTAAGGATCAGAGTATTATACCTCTAGTGGTCGTTCTTTTAAAATGTTAATGATTCGTTGTCGAAAAGTGTTCTTGCTTAGAAATAAGATATCAATTGATGCAAACCTTTTATTATAAGTGTCAACCAATCGATGCATGGGTGAGCGAGCTCCTGAATTGGTATGACGGAGATTAGTTGCAAACATGTTCCGTGAACGCACTTCTCTGCTGTGTACTGAGCGAGGGACCAGGTAGCACAAACCATTCACAAGATCAGAACAGTCAAAGTTGTTGCGGCATATACTGAAGAGGGTCATCATTTCAAGGAGTGTTCGTCTAGATTGCAGGGACAGGATATTATACTTTTCAAGCAATAATTGGTAGGAAAGTCTTTTACGAAAACATCTGTAGTGCATTGCACGGAGGTATTTACGCTGGACTAGTTCCAGTATTTCTACGTATTTTTTGTAGAAAGGATTCCAAATAGGCACTGCGTACTCTAGTTGTGGCCGGATAATAGACTTATACAGATATAAATAAGTGGAAGGGCGGTGGAATTCTCTAGAAGCTCGCATTACAAAACCGAACATTTGATAGGCTTTATTGATTATTTTATTCACGTGCGCATCGAGATGAAGCTTGGAGTCTAACTGGACTCCAAGATCGCGTAGACAGGTAACTTTAATTAAGTCAGTGTTGCCAAAATGATAATTAAATTTGGTTACTAGTTTCTTTTTTGTAAACGTAATACTATGACATTTGGAAAAACTAAGCTGAAGTTTGTTGCAAGAGCAGTATTCTAAGAAACGATCAAGGTCCATCTGAAAATCAATACAGTCAGATTGATTGGTAATATTTTTATAAATCTTTAAATCATCTGCGTAAAGGAGAAATTTAGAATTTACAAAACAGGAATTAATGTCATTAATAAATATAATGAATAACAATGGTCCAAGAATGGATCCCTGTGGGCTCCCGATGTGACCTGAATAAGACTGGACTCATAGCCATTTATTACCACTTTTTGAGTCCTATTGGTGACATAAGAAGCAAACTAACGCAGCAGGTTTCCTCTAATGCCATTAAAAGCAATCTTGTCAAGTAATAACCTGTGGTCAACTTTGTCAAAGGCCTTCTGGAAATCAGTATATACCGCATCAACCTGCTGCCTATTATCAAGGCTGTTAAACAAATGTGACGTAAAAATGAGGAGGTTACTCACGCAGGACCTATCCCTTACAAACCCATGCTGTTCTTTTAATATCACATGGCGCAAGACGGGGTAGATCTCGTTATGAACCAGTCTCTCGAAGAGTTTTGACAGTGCCGACAACAGAGAAATCGGCCGATAAGTAGACACGTCATCTTTTGAGCCGTACTTGTGGATCGGAATAATATTAGCACATTTCCAGATCTCTGGGAAGGTACCACTAGAGACACATTTATTAAATAAAAAGTATAGTGGAACGCATAGTGTGTCATAGGTATTTTTCAAGAAAACCGCGGGAATACCGTCAGGGCCAGGTCCTTTGGATGCATCTAATGATTTAAGTTCACTTTGAATCTTGTCTACAGAAAATTGTAAACTGCAGATATTAATATCATTATCGGAAGTAGCGGGTGGTGGTTTCCATGAATTATGGTTGAATGTAGAGGGTTCATATACTGAATGGAAGAAATCAGAGAATAAATTACAAATCGTAGTGGGATCATTCGAGGATTGTTGTTGGTAGTATGCTATGGGAGGAATCTTGTTGCTGGATTTACGGCTAGACACAAATGACCAAAATGCTTTGACATTAGTAGACACGCTATCCTCTACCGTATTTATATATTTCTTATAGCAAGAGGCGACATTTTTTTTAAATTTAGCTCTATACGAAGAAAATAATTCATAGTCGTTAATATTTCTGTATTTTTTCCATCTTGTCCATGCGTGGGATTTTTGTCTAAGTATATGCATTAGAGATTTAGTGAACCAGTTCGGAAAGTTATAGTTTTTAGATTTGTGTATGGGGGTATGTAATTTTATTATTTCGTAAATTTTTTCGTAGAAAATAGATACGGCTTCCTCGGGGAGTAATTCTCCTAGGAGACCACGCCAGTTAACGCCCTTAATTTTGGAATTAATTTCAGGATAATTAGACTTATGATAATTAAGTGGATTTCGGCTGATATGTTTAGTTAAGAATGAGGGCTTTCTAAAAGGTATTAATGAACAGAAGACTGGATGGTGGGAATCAATGGGAGGGAGCGAAATATTTGGAATATAAGTCTCTACGTGTGTATTGCAGAATAATAAATCTAGGATGCGCCCGTTACCGTTAATAGTACTATTATATTGGTTCATATCGTGTAGTGAGCAAAACCCTAGAAGATGACGACTAATATTAGAATATGTGTTGTTCACGGCACACGTCATATGAGATGTGGAGTCAATCCAATTCAGCTCAGGCAGGTTGAAATCTCCCGATAAGACTACGCATTCGATGGAAGGATCGTCAATTAAAACATCCAGTGAATCAATAAAATTAACATAAATTTCTTCTGTTGTATTGGGAGGTATATATGTGGCACAAAGTAGTATACATTTATTATTATAAAATGGGATTTTGGTTATTATATGTCTGTCAGTCAGTCAGTCAATCACCTTTGAATTTTATATAATATAGATATAGAAGATTTACCGTTAGACCTTCCGGTAAGAATTCAGAGTGCACAACACCGCGATAATCAAAGAAAACAGTCAACATGCAATTTGCATCTTTCTTTAAATTGCTCAGGTTTCCTACAAATAAAGTGCAGCGCAAAAAGGCAAAACTCATTGCCGAGGTCTTTTCAGAGGGCTACAATATGGGGTGTTTCAATACAGTAAATAGATCGGCAAGGCGCATGTGATACCTTAAGTGTGGAAATTTATTGTATCTATGACGTAACCCGACTTCCGCCTTTATTGTTTTGGGGGTGCGAAATATAGATAACTTTATTATACAAATCAATAAACAATTACATATTGAAACCCAAATTCTAGATATTCAGTACAACACAGGCTATTATTTATTAAAAATATTAATCATTCTTCATTTTAAACTCAGTTCGCATTGTTTCCTTGATTTGTCCAAGAACCAATTTAAATTGAGTTGAAACTCTATAGTTGGCTTGGTACTTCTCACACAAGTCAATGAACAATGGATGCATATACTTCAACACACTGTGGTCTAGGGTTGGGAACATGTGATGTAGGCAGTGGTCTCCGAATAGGGTCATCACAGCAAAAACGTTGCCATTTACATCCTTGCGGTCGAAAAGTGCTTCTACTTGGTGCATTCCCCAATCTGGGGTTTCACTTCTGTAAGATTAAATATGTTTTTAATTAATTGAAAATTGTTTTCCTATCAAAAGTTGATATACATACGCTGGTTGATCCCCATCCTTAATTGCATCGGGGTGATGATGAGCAGCATTTACAGCAATAGAGAAAAAAATTAGGCTGCCAGTACAATTTATCCATAACCACATGGAAATCACGTCAAGGAAGGGGGCACCACTGGTGATCGCCATCCACAACGGAAGCAGTAACCCAATGGCATCGTGCCAACGATAATGACTCTTGAAAAACCCTTGTTGAAGGAATATCGAGAGGAACCTGAAATATATTATTATTATTATTATTTAAAATTCTCTACAATTTACATTTTTAAATACTACTTACAATGAAATAAAAAAAAATATTTAAAAATATAAAAATAGGAGCCGACCAGTAGCGGGAGCATGGTCCAATCTACCGGTGGTTAGGGCTCCAGAGACAGAAACCTCCTCACAATACGTGCCGTTTCTAGGAGAACTGCATTCTGTATCAGGCCCTTGATCCATCCACCTAATGCCAGCCTCCTGAGATGGATGTCGATGCTATTAGGAATTAACCCATTGACCGACACAACTATCAACACAATGATAGCCGAATCCACACTCCACATGTCGACAACCTCGTGAGCTAAGTCTAGATATTTTATTTGTTTATCTTTCTCAGCTTTTACGAGGTTCTCGTCATGGGGAATGGTGACACCGATTATCATCGTGTGGCGTATATATTATTATATTATTGATATATTAATTATTAATTCGAATGATTATGTGGTAGCCGCTTGGAATATTTCTTTGACAACAGAGTAGATTAAAATTGTCACTACCCCTATTGGGTGACATTTTAATTAATTGTTAGGGGAAACAAAGCTACCTACACGTTTTCAGAAAGTATATTCACACAGAAATATAATCAAATTTAGTATTAAATGACTAATACCAGCTTCTGAAAGGTTAATATACACTAATCAAGTAATCAAATGTTAAAGGACAGTGCGAAACAAATAAAGGATAGTGCGGAATCTGAGCCCACCCGTCAATATCAACATGATTGTAATATAGCGTTGGCTTTTTAAATGGAACAAATACCACGTTAAAAAAACACGCGCTTGGCGATCGCCATCTGAACATAGCTAGAACTCAGGTCACACCTAGACTAAAGTATTGGTAATAAAAGCATTCGGTACTGCCAATGATAGTAGGTACTAGTAGCTAAAATTAATACAGACTATAAATAACTTACCTTTTTGTAAAACTTAAGAAGAAAACGAAAGGAAAAAAGAATATCTCAGTAATGCAACCCAGTTTCGCATGTAGTGGTTTGTCTTTCCTAGGAGTGTAAAATAGTATTGGTTCTAAAGAACTTAGTTCCAAATCCATCAACGTGTTTGTGTAAAGGTGATGAGACAACACGTGGGATACTCGAAAGTCCCTGTAAATGAAAAAAAAATGTCAGTCCGAGGCTGGGATGTTGATTGGTTGAATCACGAATTCGACTGTCAGTGAGACGCCTCATCTGTACCTATACCTGATATAAAAAACCTACTTTAAAAAAAACAAAAACTATAAACAAAAAAAAAGGATTATGGGCACTTTAGTATGAAAGTTGACTTTCAATCAACAGAAATGAAATGTCATTATGTCATTGATAACTATGTCGATGTCTAGATACTATTATCATGAAGTATGGGGTTATTGAGATTATCATACTTCAAATGTTGGTAAATAACGTTATGAAACTTTTAATTTCGTTTACTACTCCGTCAAAAACAAGAACACTCGTAGTTTTTTAATAATACCCGAATCAATATAACCTAACATTACTCCTATTTCACGAAGGAGATACAGAGGTGTACAATTATAAGAAAGACTGACCTTTGTCAGATATGTTAATATTTACGTATAATTAGAAAGAATATATGACTATACACCGCATACAGTTACAGACATTGTCAGTGTTTTTTATTTTGCATTTTTGACATGTGTTATCAATACTCCAGAGTCTGCAACTATGGCCTGGTTATGGTCATAAAATTAATTATCACTTTCAGTACATAATATGGATCAGATCGTGGAGTTCGGGAATTAAAAGAAGTGATGTTATCCAGTGTCATTGAAGAGTTGTTCTAATTGTAATGTAAGTTTGGTCGTAACTGTTTCCTATTAAAGACTTTTAACCCTACGTAACCGTTTGGTTCGCTTCGGCAATCATGAGACTTTTTACATATTTTTAGTTCTCTCCGTTCTCTCGCGAGTTGGCGTAAAGTTGTCAGACTAAGAAATATCATTCTCTTTCAAATGAATATATCAACACGTGTACGAATGTATCACAATGTTGATTCAACGTCCAATCCGGCCCCTTCAAAAACTGAAAACTTAGTACTAATAGGTTACCCCCCCCCACTGGTGATAGGTTAGAAGTCGGTTAGTTTTATGAAGTCGTTTTTTTAAACGCAGTTTTTATCTTGAAAATGTGCCCCTCTCGGGAGTAACCTATAACTTTTAAAAAAAAAAAGAATATCACCCGAACATAGTTGGTACTCCCTACATTGTTGAATTCAGTAAAAATATAGGACACGTAATTTTTTATTTTTTCGTATAAGAAAAAAAAATTAAATTATTTTTAGGATATAAAATGTAGTAAATCATGACGCCATACGATACCTAATAAATTATGTTTGTTAGTGAATTATCAGTTGTTATTTAAAACGAGTTTCGCAGCTAGAAAGAACCAAACAAACACTGATATAATTTCGCAGTCTCATGCAAAGTCAGGATTAGACGTCAAATCAAAACATTAATGTGACATCCAAATTATCGTTGCTACTTGCGATATCAGACAGTTCATTTTGTGTATCATTCGGCATTTTCATACAAATTAGCCAAATCGGTCCAATCGCTTTTGTGTTTTAGCGAGACTACCAAACAGCAATTATTTTTTTATATTATAAAGAGATGTAGACATTCATGTCAGCCAAGGCACCCATATTTTGTACTGAGGTAGCCAATACCATTGGGCCCATACATAAACTTTGTTTGATCTAACTCTCACTTAACGTTTTCTTTTTCATGGTGCAGCCATTTCAACCATTAGGAGTGCTATTTATCCCAAAAGGATAAGAGGCGTAATTTATGGGACGAAGTAAAGACCGACGGCTTACTTGTATTGTTCAGAACACCGTAATATATGAACACATGGATTAACATATAATGTTTAATGACATAGAAAAAACATTTACACTTAAAGGGGAGAGACAGTAGTATAGTTTGTTAAGGCATTAAGTGTATTAAAGACAAGACTTTGAGTTTAAATACCCAATAGTTTGAGTAACCAAATATAAGTAAGTGTAAATAGTAGTATAAAAGTAAGTAAGTATCTCATCTTCAAAATCTTAACCAGAAATTTGTAAGATAACTCATCAGAATACGATACGATATGAAATATTTTTTTTACATTTTGTTCGTACGCCAGATTATGTATTTCCTTTTTATATACAGTGAATTAGTAAAAGTGATAGTTAATCTCGTTTAGATTACGTTGATATTTGTAAGATTTTTTCTACTAGTAGCAACGTGGTGAGAGTAAATCCCTACACAATAGCACCTTCCCTGCAAACCTAAGGTACCTTATGATCGTAAGCGTCAGCGCACGCGTTTTTTCTGACTTAAAAAGGCTTACCAATATTTAAAAAGGCGTCTATCCTCTGTGCAAACTCCCGTTTTCGACAGAGGATAGAAGGGCAGTTTTTAGTAAAAAACTGAATTTTAATTGATATAAATTTATACATATTGATATAACTGGTTTCACTTCATATCATAGGCATTTCAACCCATTTTTTCCCGAGATAAAAAAACTATTATTTACACAAAAATCCATACGATTTACATTAACACAAATGTAGTAAAATAACAGACAAAACACCAAAATTGATGATGAATTTGATAAATTTTAGAATAATAACACCATTTCAAAAAGTGGGGCATCTATCCTGACATTATTCCTCATGTTCCTCTTCTCACAAACAAATTCGGTTCGGTATGTGGTATGTCCTCAAAAATTAACAGTACCTCCTTGAGGAGTTAGATTATAATAAAGTTTAATAATAATAATAAAGTTTATTTATTCAGATAACTGAGATCCATCGAAATAATAGTAAAAAAATAACACAATATACAGGGTGTCTCACGGCAGCGTTAGTATTTTAAATTTGAATATTTTAAAAACCGTTGCAAGTAAGCGCGGGGGTAGGAACGCAGTAGCTTCGTCATTCGTGCAGATTCGTTAGTCACGATGTCGCAGTGGTCGGGTGAGCACCGCGCGTTCGCTATCGAAGCGTTTTTGAAAGGTGGAGAATCGTACGTCGTGGCTCGAAGACAGTTTTGTTCTCACTACAATATCAGACGTTTACGCGATGGACCAAGCGAAAATTTGATTCGTAAATGGGTTATCAAGTTTCGAGCTACCGGTTTCGCTATAAATCAACCGCGTCCGGGCCCAAGCAGAACTTCAAGAACGGAAGAAACAATAAACAAAGTTGCAGCTAGCGTTCGACGTAACCCACGCTTGTCAATACGCAAAAGAGCGGCGACTTTAAACATCACCAAATCAACCGTAGAGCGGATTTTAAAACGTGATTTGAAATTCCATCCCTATAAAATACAGATAGTGCAGGAAATAAATGAAAATGACTACAATTTACGTAAAAGTTTTTGCCAGACAATCATTGAGAGATTTCGCACTTTGAATACTGTGTTTTGGAGTGATAAAGCACATTTCCATTTGAATGTTAACAAACAAAATTGTCGCTTTTGGTCAGAAGTCAATTCCAGACAAAAACATCAAAGACCGCTGCATAGCCCAAAAGTGACAGTGTGGTGCTCTTTCGGTCAATGGAATAATCGGGCCGTATTTTTTTGAAAATGCGACTGGTTTTGCGAGGATCCAGCCTACAGCTCAAGAACGTGGTTTCAGCAGGATGGAGCCACTTGCCACACTGCAAGAGCCACTATGGACCAACTTCGTGAATTGTTTCCTCAAAAATCGATATCCCGCTTTGGTGATATTGCGTGGCCTCCGCGATCACCAGATTTGACCCTCATGGACTTTTTCCTATGTACCCCCATAGTAACCTTAAGAGTAAAGTTTACGTCAATACTCCGAGGAATATCGCTGAGCTAAAACAAAATATCCAACAAGAAATACGCGACATCGAGCCAGCTATGCTTAGGCGCGTTATGCAAAATGCGATGAATCGATTCCGTGAGTGTGTGCTATGAAATGAAAGACATCTAGAAGATGTAATCTTTAAAAAATAAAATGCGCATTATAGTTAAAAAATAAAACAAAAATATGCAAATTGACTTTTATTTCATTTCAAAATCCTAACTCTGCCGTGAGACACCCTGTATAACTATACTTAGATACAATATTAATATGCGATAGTAAACAGGGACTTAGTCCGCTGCAGTAATTTACGCATCAATGGACAATCATGTCTATCGACGATCAGCAAACATTGCTGATGCACTACAGAAACGGATGCCGCAACAGTGCCCTGAACGCATTATGATGCGCAGAGCATTGTACGCTCTCTGGGTGTAGTTAACCCACAGACTTCCCGTGTACAGTGAGGTGCAATACGCCTTGAAAAATGTTATTTTAACTGCGCCTGTACAACGAGAGAATCTGCGTGCCAACATATTCGCCCAAACTGACAATGCTCTGCGTTTCCTCTCCATATCAACATCATCTTTTAAATCATCGGCAACTCAATGCCCGAGATATTTAAATTGAGATATTTTATTTAAGCAGAGACCATCCAAAACAATCGGTTGAATAGGCGGATTCTTGTGATCCGATTTGAAAACCATGTAGACAGTCTTTTTCACATTATAAGAAAGTCCACGTGAGGCCACAAAAGACTCACAAACTGCGAGAAACTTCCGGAGAGCCCCAATCGACGGAGCCAGCAAGCATGTCGTCTGCATACCTGAAGTTGTTACAGCAGACACCATCAACATAACAGCCGACATGCATGCCGCTGAGCTTCTCAACCAGATCATTTACGTACAGGTTGAAGAGCAAGGGTGAGCTCAAACCTCTCTGCCTCAGCCCACACTCCAACCCGCTCGCATCCGAAAGTTAATCCGCCCACTTCACATTATTTTTCTGATTGAGATACCAATACCTCAGTAGCGACGGCACCCCAGTCCCTGCCAGTTTCTGCCACAGAACATCATAGGAAACTAAATCGAAGGCTTTACTAAGGTCTAGAAAACAGGCGTACACAGGAGTACGCTTGTCTGTGTAGTACTTGACAGTGTGTTTCAAACTAAAAATAGCTGTTTCTGTTGACAACCCAGACCGGAATCCGAAATGGGCGTCATGTAGTTCTATGTGTTTTGTGAAACCTTGGCAACAATGGTCGCCAAAGAAATTGGCCTGTAGTTTGTCTTGTCTGCCATATCTCCTGTCCTATTTTTAGGTATGGGTACCACCAAAGTACGCATCAACCCATGAGGAAGGTATGCGTGACTTATACATAGATTGAATAACATAGCAAGTACACGAGGCAGGTGCCGGCCAGCATATCTCAGATGTTCAACACTGAGTCCGTCATGGCCAGGTGATCTACCGCCTGTCATTTTAGTGATAGCAATTTTTATATCCTTTGCAAGTATGACCGTGGTAATGTCGGTATGACAGGCGTTAAACCCCCGACATGCCGGATCCAGCGGAGACTTTATTGAATAGTAATCCTTAAACATGTTGGCTATCTCCTTTGGAGCGGAGAGACCATCGAAACTTACAGGAATATTAGGCTTTGTATTTGCACTATTAGTATATTTCCAGAACTTTTTGAAATTGAAACTCGTATAATGCTTGGCTAACATATCCATCTTAATTATGACAAAGTTCTGAAAATAATTCACCCAAACGAAAAATAATGGCTTTCCATGAGAATTGCTCTTTGGTTCCGTTCCAATTCAATAATGTTTATGTACTTTCAAAATCATCGTTTTCTAGCTAAAAAATTATAACTAAGCTATACGCCATTTTATACCCACTGTCGCCCAAATACTAAAAGGCTATCTAATTTTAAGTTTATTAAGTATAGTTCTGTCACTACAATTTTTTTTATAAAATGACAGATATGGCACGATATCTAAGTACAATTTTCAAATTGCCTTTCAGTCGGGCATGTGGTATTCACAATAATAAATTAAAATTTCGTTATCATCGTACGTCATATCTAAGAGGCTTTACAACTGCAGATACCTCTAAAAATGCATTATTTGACGAACCATTTTTTGGTGGCAAAAATGGTTAGGCCATTTGCTTAAACTATGATAATTAAAGGTAATTCAAATATTAAACCAGGCTTATAGTTACTACTTATTAAAGTTTGATAATATATTTAATTTACTAAGTGATATCTCAACTTTATTAAAAAGTAATTTTCTAGTGAGCTTAATTTGAGCTACAGAATTGGGTGACTCATATTTGAACATCAATACTGGATAAGAATTATGCTTGGAGATATGAAATGAAACTGAGTTATTGCGTCATTTTTCTTTTCATCAAAGTTATAGTTAGAATCCAAAATGTTACTGGCAGAAATATCAGTACTAAGTTATGCTCGAGACTCGGGATAACTGGATTAAAGAAACACTAACTTTTTGTGTTCAATTAAATTCTACTCAATAGAATAGCATAACTAATGTACCTATAATCATGGCTTCGTCCATGTTCCCGTAGAATAAAAAGTACCTAGCCTAAGTATTGTTACAGACCATCATTACCGTAGTTTTAAATTTTACCCCGATCCCTTTAGCCATTTTAATGTGAAAGAGTAACAAACACACGAGCACACACGCACACACACATACACATAAACATACACTCACAAACTTGCATTTATCACTACATAGTAAAAAACAAAGTCGCTATCCGCCGTCTGCCTGTCCCTATGTATGCTTAAATTATTAAAGTGCATTTTTTTTAATAGACAGAGTGATTCTTAAGACTTTAACCGCCGCGTGGGTCACCGGTGACCTACGTTAGCAGAGGATTTGCCTTCAGCAGTTTTCTGTCGGCAGACAAAGGCTTAAGGAAGATTTATATGTATAATACAAGCATATTGCACCCGTGCGAAACCGGGGCGGGTCGCTAGTAATATTAATAAGATAGACCACACTCACCTATAAGACCACATGCTCATATTAAACAAATACATACGCCAATTCGTTTTCCTGTGTATGTAATTGTGACAGGCTACAGTCAAAACTGCCAAATTGAATGACGCGTAGGTATACCAAAATTTTACAGCAATATTATTTGTGACCCAGCAGGCTAAACTTGTACTAATAAGCAACGATACAAACAGACAGTCTGTTATGTTATTTGCAGTTCTAGATGCATCTTTAGGGATATTTTTTAACTTCTCAAAAGCCACTCTCTTTAGCGTTTTGTAAAAGCCATCTTCTTTGAACGTGAATGGCGAATTACGTGGAGTCTTTGCATCTCTTATATAATATTGTGTAAGAATTTTCTCAGTGGATGGGTTCAAGTGATGAGATTCAAAAGCTTCAGTGATGTCAGTTCCCTGAAAAATAAATCCTAGGTGATTTAAAATGGTGAAGGATATTTATTCTTGTTATAGGGATAAATTTAGCTTAAACCTACGTGGTTGTTAGTTTTTTTAATACTGGTTAATATTTGTATTTCGGACAACTTACATTAATATAATGGATTTTTAATTAAAACCAAACAAAAATGATTATTCGATTACATACTTCGTTACTAATTACTCAAAATTGAAAGTCGCTCTTCGACTGCATTGTGTTAGCGATTAAACTTTCGAATCGAAACTTTCTTGGCTAATCTTTAAATAAAACATTTTGTCTTCCTAAGCAATAAAGGTTTGACGAAAAGGTAAAAGACTGCTTCAATAAGATTAAAAAAAAACTTAATTTTTCTTACTTGGGTGAGTTCTAGCCACTCTTCACCTCCCGGGTGACGTTTTATAAACCTCGTTAGGTCATACAGTTTGTCGTGAATACGCCACAATCCCTCAGCACCGTCATCCATAGCTTTCCCAGCAAGCCATTGTACCGGGTCTCTTAATCCTTCATCTCGTAACGAAGGATATTTTAACTGCGGAAAACTCACATGCGTATTTTTATCTACGGCTCTTTGCTGAGCTGCTTCCTCCCAATCAGCATTAGGTCGCATTTTCAACCTTATCAAAATTTAATAAAAACTATAATTACACACACGACTGCTCACAGTTGTTTATTACACATAACTCGGTCATCAATACGAGATCTATCAATTTAATGGCAAGTTTATTAGTACAAATAATATACGGCTGATTAGTTCCTTTGATGATGTAAATAGCGGCATTAAATTACCGGTACATAAGTTTAACGATGCATTTTGATTTTACTCGGGGAGAAATGATTATTAATAGGAGTTTAATTTTATGCAAGATTTCGGGTGCTTTCGTTTACTCTGAAAATTGCTTCGAGGTTTATTATTTTAGGCAAGTTAATGGCTCTTTTTAGGAAGCAGGATAAGAGAATCTTGTTGGCTGTTTTCGTTGTTCAAACGTTTCGTCGTGCTTTGCAATAGTAGTGGGGAACGAATTATAATTTTGCATGATTTAAAAAAATAAACATGATACATATAAAATATGGGTCCGGTCTAAAAACAATAAAGAAGTAATCTTGAAACAATTCTACGGTAAGTGTGCACATACTCTAAGGTACAAGTACATCATGATAACCTTAGTATATTTATCGTACACGAGTAAGATATTAGGTATATTAGAAAGGTTAACTTGAACCAATTATGTAGGGCAGTATTAAAAATTACTAATCTAAAGTTTAAAAACTACTTACAAATAATATAACAAAGTACTTACTAATTGTTGTAATTAGTTATTTTTAGATATGTAATTTTAGTAGTTAAAAATTAGAAATTAAGTGTGGGAGAGCCACTACTTCGGCACGAATGGGCCGACTCGACGGCCTCACAGAAAACCGAGACGTGAAACAACGCTTGCGTTATGTTTCATCGTGTGAGTGAGGTTACCGGAAGCCTAATCCCCTTGAATCCTCAACAATCCTCAAATTCCTAATCCTCAAAAGACCGGTAATGCACTTGTAACACCTCTGATGTTTCGGGTGTCCATGAGTGGCGCCAGTTGCTTACCATCAGGTAATCCGTTTGGTCGTTTATCAGCTATTCCCATAAAAAGCCCTCCTCGAAACCTAAAATACTCTATGATTACCGAAAATAGATACTAATGAACTCGTGAAAATGTGTGGAACATTGAATATAATATTATGCCTCAGCTTACGCTTTCTCAGAATACAAGGCTAGGTATCAAATTCAAAGTAACTTTATTTGTAGTTCATGTAGTATCTAAACGGATAAATACTATATGTTATGAACCAAAATGTTGTCACGTAGTGTCTTATTAACGATAAAGCTAAATATAAAGGATTTAATGTCATACTTGCTAACAAAAATTACAAATATAATCTTATCAGATAATCTCGTTGACATTATGATACCTACTTCGCGAAATGCAGACGATTTAAGTGCAGTATTCTGTTACACGGAAGAGACGTAGTATCATGTAATAGGACGATTGCCATTTGTCAAACTATCTGTTTACGATTTTTTAGGATATCTAGAAACGTGTATGGTTCATTTAAAAAAAACCTTAAATCAGTTCAGCTGGTTTTGAGATTTGCGCTTAGCAACATCATAGTCAAAGGAAATCATTGGTTAGTGTTTGATCGATAGATTTATGCTACAGTTAATTTTTATAATAGGTGCTCATTTATAACTTTGATGTTAATTGGTATAGTTTTTTTTTTTAAGGGGGGAAAATCATCGAATGACTGCTCCCGCCTGGGTGAGGCGGAAGGGAGTGTCAGACTCTTACTGACTAAAAACCACCCCCTTCCTTCTCCTGCACGTCGAGCCGGAGCCCCGGTTACCCGTTAGGTTCTCCGCGACATGTTAATTAGTATAGTTAGGGTAGATATTATGAAGTGACAATTAGTAAATATGCCATGTATGTGTAAAGCTGATACTAGCTCTTAAAAGAGTACCTACAGCTCTTTTACAATTAAAAGTCAAATGCACTCAGTCCAAATGGATTTTTTGTAAACAATATTATCTTATCTTTTGTCAATTATTTAGTTAGTTGAATTGTTTTATTTTATCGAATAAAACAGAACGCTGTGAGTGTGAATCGTTTAAACATTGTCTAAATTCCGAGACGAGCGGATTACAACGGAGTGAAGTGATAACAACATTTATTTTGTTACTTATTTAATTGTTATGTGTTAAGTATTTCAAATATGGCTCCTAAAGACATGAATTATATTGAATGGGCTCACCAAACGGCGGCTGAGAAAAAAACTCATGTGAGTTTCCCGCAGTTGAAGTACCCATCATTAAGAGATGGAGGGCTAAAAGACCCCGTACAATGGTTGGAAGGCAAAGCCATGGACGATGGAGCCGAAGGTTTATGGAGAATACGTGATGGGCTTTACGATTTCGAAGAATTTCAAGATAAACATCCCGGTGGCGCTGAGTGGCTGGAGCTCTCTAAGGTAACCTAATTACCGCTGAAATATATTTTTTGTTGTGAGTAAAGTACGGTTTAGGTCTGCAGTAATAAAATATGAACATCAATTTGTCCAACGAAAGCAATATTTGTGATTTCTTTTTCCATTTACCGTAACGTTAGGAATGATTTATGATTGTATATGAATCAATATTTTGTGATTATTAGTTATGACAAACAAATTTGCAGGGGACAGACATTACTGAGGCCTTCGAGTGCCATCACTTGAATCCTGTTGTGGAAAAGATGATAGAAAAGTATTATAAACGAGACGCCAAGACGCAAAGGAATTCTCCGTTTACATTTGAAGAAGATGGTTTTTACAAAACGTTAAAACGAGCTGTGAGAGAGGAAATAAAGAAAATTCCTCCTAGCAAACAAAAGCGGCCAGATTACATTATTGATAGTCTTTTTGCAACCGTTTTGTTAACGTCAGCATTATCTTGCTGGTCTAAAGACTATTGGACTGTAATGGGAGCATACCTGACAGCGTCTTTGGCTTTAGCATGGACCACAGTCGCATCACACAGCTATGTTCATATGAAAACTAACTGGAGAATGTACTTATTCAATCTAACCTTAATGTCCTATAGGTAAGAATAATTGCAATGCAAAATGTATGTTTATCTATCGTATATTAAACTAGCTACTTCCGCGCGGTTTCTCACGCTCTGATCAGCTCCTATTGGTCGTAGCGTGATGTTTTATAGCCTATAGCCATCCTCGATAAATGCGCTATACAATACAAAAATAATTATTGAAATCAGACTTGTAGTTACGGATATTAGCGCGTAAACAAACAAACAAAGAAACAAACTCTTTCGCTTTATATAATAGTATAAGAAGTATTTAAGATAATAGTATAAGATAAGTACATTATATAGTTGTAGTAATAATAATAATTTTTATCTATTTCTTCTTGATCTTGCTAATTTTAGACATAAATGAATGTATGTTCTTTGTTACAGAGACTTCAGAATATCTCATGCTCTTTCTCATCATTTATACCCAAATACTCTAATGGATTTTGAAGTTAGTGCCTTTGAACCAATAGTCTTCTGGAATCCGAGAAAGAAATCTAGTCGTGTATACTTCACACTCTTCATTGAACTTATTTTCTATCCGTTTATAGCTTTGATCAATTTCTCTAGAAGGTAATAAAATGTTTTGATTCAGCATAACATCAAAAAAGTCTTGTGGGTTCGAATATAACAATGCTAATGAAAAGTCCTTATTTCATTTCGAAACAGCATTAATATTTTACTTTTTTTTTCAGATTCGCAAGCATTTTCATCCGTAAAGACTTCTTGACACGTCACTACAGATGGCATGATGGTATCGGCTTCCTTCTTCCTATTTGGATGTGCCTCGCTAGTGGTTCTTCATTCTACCACGCAGTGATTATGTGGATGTGGATAATTTGTACTACCAGTTTAATTATTTTTGCTATCGGCACAAACGCTGCCCACCATCATCCCGATATATTCAAAGACGGTGATCAAGTCAGGTATGAAGACGTAATATTTTCTTATCCTTAATTAAAATTTTGTGATTTTCTTAATTTTAAAATGCAAAATGTTATTTGGCTTAATTTTAAATTAGCTCCCGATTCATCATTATCATCGTCATTTGCCGGAAGATGTTCACTATTTAACAAAGAGCTCCACATCTGTCCCTTACTTTGAATGTCAGCTCTTTTTCTGTTTACTTCTAATAAAAATTTTAATACGTCTTAAGTGAATTTATGAAAGAAAATACTACCAATAATATTAATATTGTTCTAATCTTATAAATGCGAAAGGTTTTATTTTTTTGTAACTCTACATTTAAAGATATTTTGAATAAAAAAATGTACGATTAAATATTATTGTGCCTATACCATTATACCATAATGTTACAATGAATTTATTTTTGATACCAAGTTCATCATTATTGCGTAAAAGTAATCTTATCAGTATCATTAAATGTACCTAGTTATAATGACTTTTCTGGAGGATTCACGTTTAAGCACTTAGAGCACCTACTTTTTAGGCACTCTATACATTTAGCACCAATGATATTTTATATTCTAAGGTGAACGTATCTATGGGTGCGCAAAACGGGAATAACTACTCTCATTTTCCTCTGCTCGGCTTGATAGAACAAATTACTTAAAAATACAGATCTCTTTCACTTTCTCAGTTTTGGATAAAATAATAGCAAGTTTATCTTTGATAAAATATTTTAAGAAAATATTTTCTGATTAGAATAGTTATTTGAACTTACTAAGTTTATATGGTTCATCATAATATATACCACTAACAAAATTGATGTTAACAGAGGTAAAACAGTCGACTGGGGCATGCATGAGCTCGAGGCAGTGATGGACCGTACTGACATCAACAACAGCCTTTTCAGGTCCATGACATTCTTCGGAGATCACGCTCTTCATCATCTTTTCCCAACTTTGGACCATGTAATTTTGAAACAGCTGTACCCAGTATTTCTGGAACATTGCGAAAAGTTCAAAGCTAATTTTCGATTGACATCATCTTACGACCTTTTTATAGGACAGTTGAAAATGGCTGTCAAAGAAAATCCTAATGTTTTGGATGATTCGCGTTAGGTTCGTGAAGGTGACTTGTGTGTTTTGTATAAAAAACTATATTATAAAAATGTGTGTATACAATGTTTTATTATAAAGTGTTTGTAAAAATGATTTAATAAAACTTTACGTTGTCATTACTATTTGCTTTTTTTTCATAAACACGGTTTTTTCCTATGGTGGTATTAGTAATTCCATGAAACAGAAAAGTAGGCTGAACCAGTAAACCTACACCTGTACACCATAACCTTTTATATATATGTAGTTTTTTTAGTTCAAAAACACAACATAACCCATAACCCGAAGAGATAGGTAGAGGTGCACATTACGACACTTAATGCCATTGTACAATGTAACACCCACTTTTCACTATTTTAAGTTATGAGTCCCATGTAATAGGGGCCTATTGCCATATACCGGGCATATTTCCAGACTCCGTGCCCATGACTTGCCCGAACTTTTTTTTTTTTGATCATACAATGACTTCTCCCACTCGGGTGAGGCGGGAGAGAGTGTCAGACTCTTACTGACTAAAAACCACCCCGTTCCTACCCTTGCACTTCGAGCTGAAGCCCCGGCAACCCGTTAAGTCTTCCGCGGCTCCGTATTGGCATCAGCCCTATTGGGCCCCATCTGTGGTGGTCTGATAGCTCCTTGAGGCGCGCGCGGAACGCGACGCGCCGTACGCTCGGGCCTGGTTCTGGTCGGGCAGCGAGTCACTCGTGCTCGCCGTCCGCAGGCCCGTGCTTACGGTGGCCGGAGATCGGCTCGCGATCCCCGACGCCCGGAATGTCTCTCACGACGGCCGGAATGTCTCTCACGACGACGGCCGGGGCGTGCGGAGGTTCGTTCCCTCACGCGCTAGCATGACTGCTTCGCAGAAGGAGGAGTCGGCATCCCACTCCCCCTCGCTCCGTACCATGGCCTGAACCAGAGCCGGACGAGGTCGCCATCGCCGATCACATCCCTGAGGACATGGTGGTGCTCAGCCCACGCAGGACACACCGCCACCGCATGGTCCACCGTGTCCTCCGGGCGATCCTTGCAATGATGACACCCGGGGACTTAGCCCGACCTAACTCGAGACCTCTTGCCCGGTAGTTGCTCTTGCGACCACTCGGTTAACGAAGTAGTCAAAGAAGTACATAGTTCAAAGAATAGAAACAGAGAAACTTCGTCCCTATCCACACTTAAATAGCATAAATGGTTAAGTACCTATTTATATATGTCTGTTTGTTTGTTCGTTTTTCATGGCAAAACGGAGCGCTGAATTGACATGAATTACTACTAAACTGCCTAATAGTGTAGTTTCCTAAACATCATACACGTATTTTTCTTTTATCACAAATTTAAATACTTTCTACGATATATTAGTTTAAAATACCGTGTGACCTCAAAAAATATTAATACGAGTAAATAAAAAAATACGGTCTGTATTTTCATTATCTAACTGACGGACTAATAGATTGTTAATTTTCGTATAATGGCAACTACCCAATTTACTATTCTACGCGATCGAAGTTGCGTGTAGAAGGTAGTATTTGTATATAAATATATACTAATCAACAAAATATTTGGTATAGATACCAACGTCGTGATTATCTAATCATTAAACTTAATTAAGAAAGACAAAGCAAATATTTTGGTACCGGTAATGAATTTAAGTAAACGGGTAGACAGAATTAATCTGTTTTAATTATCGTTTGAAGCGTAAAGGTCACTGTCATTATACACAAAATATACTTAATTTATGTTTACCGACAAACAATGTCTCAGTAAATAATAATAAGAATATTATACCTGCCTCGTTGGCCAAGTGGTTCCCGGGCTGGACAAAGTATTACTGGGTTTTTTAAATTTTTAATCAGTACTTAGTAGCATGGAATCTGGAAGTGTGCCCGGTATATGACAATAGGTTCACCCCTTACTACATGGGACTTCTAATATAAATAATCAAAAGTGGGTGTTACATTGTACAGTGGCAGCGTGCAGTTCTGCCTACCCCTTCGGGGATAAAGGGCGTTGTGTTATGTCATTATACCTGCTTTTCTTTGTGTACGCTTGTAACGTACAACAAATAAAATATTGCAATCACATTAATCACAATACTATTATAAAATAAAGTGAAAGTTTCAACGCGCGGGCAACAGCTAGCTGATTTAGTATTTATATTGGTAAACAGTAAAAAATAAGATATGAAATTTTAATTAATATTTCATTGGATATATACATAGTTAATTACTATCAATGTACTTAAGAATGTTTTGTCATACAAATATAGTTGTATGATGATAACCGCGACCTTTTGCTTGCGCCGTGACTTTGCTTATCAAGAGTCAGTAAATTATCGCAATCAACTTTTCCTAACAATAACACTGTTGAGGGGCATGCAGTATGAGCAGAAAATGTAGGTTCAAAATTTGGTCTGGTTAGGTTAGATTAGATCAAAGATCAAAGTCATTTATACTCAATTCTCTTCTGCAAAGAGGACCTGGTAATCCTTTTGTAGATGGTGACCATCAGTTTTCGTGAAGTATAAATCCTAGACATAACATCACGCCTTTTATCTTCGAAGGGGTAGGCAGAGGTGCACATTATACCACTGTACAATGTAACACCCACTTTTCACTATTTATGTTATGAGTCCCATGTAATAGGGGGTGAGTCTATTGCCATATACCGGGCACAGTTCCAGACTCCGTGCTACTACTGAGAATTTTTTTTTTAAATACCCAGTAATACTTTGCCCGACCCGGGAATCGAACCCGAGACCCCTTACAGTCGCGATGCGACCGCTCGGCCAACGAGGCAGTCCTAAATCCTAGACCCACAAAACTCTAGGATTTGAACAATATCAGCAACGTGCGAGTGACGGTTTTGATATTTGGCGGCAATAATTCCATCAAATAGCTGTATGATTTCATTGAAGCATGGCGTAAGTTGGTTAACCTTATTCGATTTTAATTACACTAAAAATAAAAGCAAATTAATGTTTCTAGTCATTTGCAACTACTTCATTTCGAAAGGTTCCTCAAACATGGAATATCAATATTACATTTAATTTTCTTGTACGAAAATTTAATTCATCTTAAATTACAATCTCTAAACTAGCTACTTAGAAGGCGACAGTCCATTAAGCTTGGTGTAACAACTTCATCACTGGCCAGACGGACTCGCATAATTACCTTACATCGAAATATTTCAGCTACTAAATGAAATAAACCTAACTTTGCTACGTAATGTATACCATAGTTATTTAAATGTTCCGTGATTTTAATTTCCTATTTGAAATTGTTAATACGATTTGTAACAATGTCAGAAAATACTTTTACAATTCGAAGGCATAGCCTAGCATACAGCTAGGCTATGCGAAGCTTACGTTAATGTGCGTAAAGGTTAGTCTAAAAAAGGAGATTGGACGTATGGAACTCTGGACCAGCAAAGCAAAGTATACTACGAGTACCAGTGTCGGTCCCTAACGAAATTGGTTAAAAGTGTCAGGTATGCAAAAAATCTGAGGTATACCTCTATATGCCTAAATTACTTTCATTATTAATAATTATTGTTTCAAAATGTGTTGTTGTCTTCTGCACACCAAAATAAGCATTGCTTATTGTTTTATTTTTATTGGGGTCGATAAGCAAATCTATAATATTTATGTTTTGTATGGAAAATATTCCAGCGATTACAAAAGCAAATTGATATAAGACGAGGCGAGAATCCAATCTCAGATTTAAACTGGCACTACAGTTAGGACAGTGAACACAAATATACCAGTGAATACCAAAAATAAAAAAGTCATTTTATATAATTGTTTAAAATGGCTCCTAAAGATTCGAGTTATATTGAGTGGGCTCATAAAACTGCAGCAGAGAAGAAAACACATGTTAGTTTCCCGCAATTAAAGTATCCCTCGCTTAGAGATGGAGGGTTGAGGGACCCCGTACAATGGTTGGAAGGAAAAGCAATGGATGATGGTGCAGAAGGTTTATGGAGAATACGGAACTCTCTTTATGATTTCTCCGAATTCTTAGAAAAACATCCTGGCGGTGCTGAGTGGTTGGAGCTTGCTAAAGTAAGATATTTACATGTCAAATTTATAACGTCTTTTAGTTAAACTTCAATTCTACATAAGGACTTTGAATAGCTGCCTCAATGTCCGAGTAGTCGCAAGTGCGACTACTAGGCAAGGAGTTTCGGGTTCGATTCCCAGGTAGGGAAAAGTGTAACTGGGTTTTTAAAAAAATCTAGATTTTAGAATTTAGAAGATAGAATTAGATTTAGTACCATTACACAATTCCAGACGCCGTGGCGCCTGGAATTGTGGTACCTATATGGCAATAGGCTCACCCCCCTATTACATGGAACCTATAACATAAATAGTGAAAAGTGGGTGTTACATTGTACAGTGGCATCAAGTACCGTAATACGCACCTCTGCTTACCTCTTCGGGGATAAAAGTGACCTTGAATAATTACAGTAATAATTATAATGAAGGTAAAGCGAATAATTTATGCTAGATAGAATATTATCTACGTCTATGACAATGATGAACAACAGATATTGATTTGCAGGGAACTGACATTACAGAAGCATTCGAGTGCCATCATTTAAATCCTGTGGTGGAAAAAGTTAAAGACAAATACTATGTTAGAGATGCTAAAACTCCAAGAAACTCTCCATTTACATTTGAAGAAGATGGTTTTTATAGCACTTTAAAACGGTCTGTAGCTGAAGAGCTAAAGAAAATTCCAGCGTCTGAGAGAAAACGATCCAGTTTGATCATTGATGGCCTTTTTGGGACGTTACTAATATCATCGGCTTTATCTTGCTGGGCCACAAATTACTGGGTTGTCATGGTCTCTTATTTAGTAGCATCTCTCGCTCTAGCGTGGACTACGGTCGCGGCCCATAATTACATTCACATGAAGACTAACTGGAGGATGTATCTTTTTAATTTAAGCCTATGGTCCTACAGGTAAATATGAAAGTATTTAAAAGTTTTCTCAGATTATGTATTGACAACATAACATCACGCCTTTTTATCCCCGAAGGGGTAGGCAGAGGTGCACATTATGCCACTGTACAATGTAACACCCACTTTTCACTATTATGTTATGAGTCCCATGTAATAGGGGGTGAGCCTATTGCCATATACCGGGCACAATTCCAGACTCCGTGCTACTACTGAGATTTTTTTAAAAACCCCAGTAATACTTTGCCCGACCCGGGAATCGGACCGAGACCCCTTACCCGGCAGTCGCACTTGCGACCACTCGGCCAACGAGGCAGTCTTTATGTATTATTATGTATTGAATCTGGTATTATGTATTCTTATGGATTATGTTTACGCTTTTTGAATCTGTAAATAATTGTGGTTGTTGACAACAAGATAACAGAATAAAATAATCATGGCATTAATTATAATATCTTATTTTGGTTTATTAAAACAAAACTTTATCAGCTTTATCAGCCACGACCTTTTGATTAAACAATTGTATTCTTTGTTTTAAAAATAAAATAATCATGGCATTAATTATAATGTCTTATTTTGGTTTATTGATTATTAATTTGGTTTATTAAAACAAAACTTTATCAGCTTTATCAGCCTCGACCTTTTGATTAAACAATTGTATTCTTTGTTTTTAGCTACACGATGATAGTTATATTAATGCAGAAAAGTTTTTAGATTTAAATTATTTCTTTTTAATTCCTTTAAACTGATTACTTTGTTTTATGTCTATCCAATCTGTTAAGGCAAGTGACGCCATTAGTTATACACGTAGATATTGTTTAAGAACTGACTTCAAAAGTGTATTTAGTATAAGACATAAAAAAGACTTTACTAACAAATATTGTTACAGGGACTTCAGAGTTTCACATGCACTCTCTCATCATGTTTACCCGAATACCTTGATTGATTTGGAGATCAGTGGCTTCGAGCCCATTGTGACTTGGATTCCTAGGAAAAAACCTGCGTTTGCAAAGTTCACTCTACTGATAGAAACTGTTGTGTTTCCATTTTTGTTCATACTAAACTTTATAAAGAGGTAAATAATATTGTATTATATAATACTAACTCACTTGTCATTTAATTTTATGATACCATGGTAATCAGTCACATAATGGGAGAAAAACATTATACTAAGTATAGTTTGATTTTATGTCGCCTATGAGAATTTCAGAACCGAAACGGTCAATATTATTTGTGAAATCCAGGTGGACATCAAACCAGTCCTCGTTCTTAGTGTACTAGTTACGACTCAACCAAATGCTATGATAAAATTGTTTTGGCATGAAAGATAAATATTTCTAGGTTGGAGGTCATTTATTTTCTGTTTAACGATATCCATTAATATTTTGCACAGCAATAAAAATATCAAATGTAGTGTATATATGTACGGCAAAAAAATTATAATCACTTCACGACATACTAAGTTTTACAAATAACATTTTTCTATTTCAAGGTTTATCAGCAATTTCATCCGTAAGGGTTTCTTCACCCGCCACTATAGGTGGCATGACGTCATCGGTCTCCTTCTTCCAGTATGGATGTACCTCGCAAGTGGCTGCACTTTCTACCATGCCTTCATTACCTGGTTATGGATTAACTGCACTGGAAGCTTCATCTTCTTTACCATTGGATCTAACGCTGCTCATCATCATCCAAATATTTTCAAAGATGGCGATCAGTTGAAGTAAGTTTAACGGTAATTTTTATTAAACAAACATTAGAATGGAGGATTTGTTAGCAATTAAATTTTAATCTGTGAGGTCTTGTTGGGAAAACGATAACTATGATATTGATCAAAAATATTTTTCACTTTCAGAGAAAAGACTATAGACTGGGGCATGCACGAGCTTGAAGCTGTTATGGACCGCAACGACATTAACGATAATTTCTTCAAAGTGATGACGTTCTTTGGAGACCATGCATTGCATCACCTATTTCCAACATTAGATCATGCTCTCTTAAGGCACTTGTACCCTGTGTTCTTAAAACATTGCGAACAATTTAGGGCTAACTACAGATTAACGTCACAATACGATTTCTTTATTTCTCAACTTAGAATGGCGGTGAAAGAAGATCCAAACGTTTTGGACGAATCGTCCTAAAATTATTATTGTTTAAATTAAGTTTGCATAAACAAAAACCTAATGCAATCATGTTATTTTATTCCCAAAAATGATAATTAGTAATAGGCAAGATGACTAATTCGTATTTTATTGTCCGTCTGGTAGATTATTAAAAAAAAATCTTACAGAAACAAGTATTTTGGACATTAAATTGTTTGAAATATAGAGTGACGTCACTTCTAGGTACATTATACTATGTGTATACGAAGAAATGACGTTTTCGCGCCCACTCCTTAACTTTGACTCGTTTTGTTAGACAAAACGAGTATTGTTTTATTGTATGATAAAATAAAATAATAATATGTCCAATATCTTTTCATTATCTACCTGACGGACTAATTACATATTTATTTCTCATACCCTGTCATTATTCCTATTATATTTTGTTCCTATATGAAGTAGGTACACTTTCACAAAATCAATAGCTTAAATACAATGTTTAGTGTTGCTCAGATGAAAATAATGCACGTCCCATATATACTTTCAACCCCTATTTCATATTTTCTTAATTTATGGGAAAAGGTGGTAAACGAGCAGACGGATCACCAGAAGCGTTGCAAGTGCATTTGACCTTTTGGGGATTAGGAATTTGAGGATTGCAAGGGGGAGAGGGCGTAATTAGGCTTCCCGTAACCTCAATCATACGACGAAATACAACGCAAGCGATGTTTCACGTCGATTTACTGTGAGGCCGTGGTATCCGATCGAGCCGGCCCATTCGTGCCAATGCATGTCTCTCCCACACTTACATGTGTTTCTGGATTGTCGATATTTATAATATAAAATGTTCACCCAGGCAAAATGATTCGACTACTGAGCTAGTACTTTAAATTGAAAACAAAAATCGATGAAAGCTCAAGCAGCGAAATAAATTAAATATTTCAATATCTACTGAAAATCTTGTCTATATATATATACCTAATATACATATACACCTAACTTAAAAAAGTGGACACGTCGCGGGAAATGGTAGTAATTAGAACTATTCAGTTTGCCCGTATTACAATGTTGTATTCACAATGATAATAGTAATAGTCAGTAAAGTAACGTAAGATGGCAATATTAATATATACACTTGTTTGACATTTAGAATTATGTTAAGAGATGAGCGTGATCGCGTAACGATGTCACACGCAAGGAACCTCTGCCTACTCCTTTCCTGTATCAGCGGGGTCCTATAGCGTCCCTAAAAAAACCTCTTTCTCTTTGCAAGCGTACTTATTAGTACGAATTAGTCTCTACTAATAAGTAAGTAACAAAACAACGCCCTCTATAATAAAACTAAGAACTATTTGGTAAGCATACCGATGATCACGTCACCTGTACAATTGAGTGAGAACTTAAAATAAATAAAGCAACCTATCGCTATGACTTATGATTAAGGAGCTGGACAGCATCATCATCGTCATAGGCATCACGTGCATATTTTTGTCAATCAAAATATACATAATATGTATTTATACAGACAAAAATATGCAATCAATTAGAAGTAAACACAACAATTTCAGACTCGTTTTATTATGTCCAACAATAATTATGTTGAAAAGAAAAAATCAGTACCTAAGTATTGGGTATTGTTCGAAAACAATCAGGTTTAAAGCAATATTTTTCATTGAACTTTAATACTCCGTGATGGACAATGCCATTCATAAACCTAATGACTTTGAAAGGTAATATTTTATAAATATTTTTTCTACCTGGATTTTTATAGTTTGCTTCTTTATAGAACTTAATTCTCTCAAGAATTAGGTTTTATTTAGAATAATTACGTTGGAACTTACCGATCGGGGTGGTTTTTAGTCAGTAAGAGTCTGACACTCCCTCCCGCCTCACCCACGCGGGAGGAGTCATTCGATGATATTCCCCCCTTAAAAAAAAGGGGGCTAAAAATCACATTAATGAGCAACCTCGAACAGGCGTCGCATTCGCGTACTTTTATATGTTAATTAAATGTTGTTAAGGTGCATTCATTCGCAAGTCATGTATTACGAATAACAGTAGGTATGCTTGGTTCGCAAGCATGAAATCAAGTGCTTACTGGTGAACATGGGCGTATTGAGGCTACAAACGCTTCCTCACTGTGAGCCGAGCTTTCCTGTGGGTGGTTTGTAGGGGCACGTGACGCCGACTCAGAGCTATAACTCCTACTGAACAATCTGAACATACTATTCTGTACGTGTCGGATCGACAGCGAGTATGGGCTGGAACAAATCCTGTAGTTGTGTTTTGCTTGTTTTGACGTCGTGGTTCGGATTCTTAGGTATTTGTTTGAAGACTATAGATTAATCTTATTAGATAGTTTAGGTTGAATACAAAATTAAGGTATCTAAAGTTACGCGCGAATACTGAAAGGCTACTAAATTTTAAGTTGTGCTTAAATATCTCTGTCATTTTACAAAGAATTTGTAGTGATATAACTATTATTAGTTAACTTAAACTTGAGTAGCCAGTCAGTATTCCGGTGTTAGTATTTCATTAGACAAGTAAATAATTTTCTATTTATTGATGTAACCATCTAAGGTATTTCAAAGCGATTAATTTGCTGGATAGACTTTGTATACAACACTCGATTATCGGGTAATGATTGGTTGACAGCAAATCCATTAAAAAGAAAATCATTCGAACAAACTCAACAATAAATAACCTAAAATAAACAAGTACTTGTGAAGAAAATTGCAGAAAAAAGTAATTTCCGTTGGGATCCGAATCACATTTAAAGCGTTGCGTTTCCTTGTCAGTTAACCGTTCACTCTATCCTCGCTTAATGATCGGAAATGTTTTTACACATCGGCTTTGTTAAAATTCTTTGCTATACGGGTTTTTTTATTTTTTTATACCATACAAATATTTGGTCGCGGCTACGTCGGCGTGGATTAATAATAGGCAAATTTTTGATTTATGTGTGTGTACTTGTGACCTTTTCTAGCCTATTTTTATATATGGCAGAAGGTATCAAATTTGATCAAAATCTATTCAGTATTTTAGTTTTCGTGTACTGTTAGATTGTAAAAGATTCAAAGTTTGAACCACGTAGTATGTTAGGCGATGGGAACTGTCAGACTCTTACTGACTAAAAGCCACCCCGTTCCTACTCCTACTTTTCGAGGTGGAGCCCCGGCAACCCGTTAGGCCTTCCGCGGCTCCGTATCGGTAATCAGCCCTACTGGGCCCCATCAGTGGTGGGAAAGAAACATTCGGGCCGAGGAATGAACCCGAGTGTCATAGCGTGGAAAGCACCTGATTTCCACTAAGCTTTTTAAAAATGTTGCCGGCAATGGTCTAGGATAAGGTTTGTGTAGGTATAAGGTCTGATATCGCGTAGGTTTCATGATTCATCACTTTTTAACCGACTTCAAAAAAAGGAGGAGGTTCTCAATTCGACCGTATATATGCTTTTTTTTTTTTATGTTTGTTCGCCGATATCTCCGTTGTTTATAAACCGATTTTGAAAATTCTTTTTTTGTTAGAAAGGAGATAGTTCCAGAATGGTCCCATGATAAGGAAATCAGAATCTGATGATGGAAGACCAGGGAAACCGAGGGGAACTTTTAAAAATTATAGGTGTGACTAGGGCATTTGTTATTTTTTTCATTAAGTATTAAAAACCACTACAATCTGATATAGGTCTGGAGCCGATCTGATGATGGAGCCGAGAGCCAGTTGAGAGAACTCCTCAACGGTTAACAGTAGCTACCTTGTGTTTGGGTTTGATTAATTTGTATTGATGAGGACTTTACACCTGAGTGGGGTGTAATTGTCAATAAGGGTCTGATGATGAAGTAGTACGATAGTTGAGGGAACTCCTCAACGGTTAACAGTAGCTACTTTGTGTTTGGGTTTGATTAATTTGTATTGATGAGGACTTTACACCTGAGTGGGGTGTAATTGATTATAAGGGTCTGATGATGAAGTAGTACGATAGTTGAGGGAACTCCTCAAAGGTTAACAGTAGCTACCTTGTGTTTGGGTTTGATTAATTTGTATTGATGAGGACTTTACACCTGAGTGGGGTGTAATTGTCAATAAGGGTCTGATGATGAAGTAGTACGATAGTTGAGGGAACTCCTAACGGTTAACAGTAGTTTTGTGTTTGGGTTTGATTAATTTGTATTGATGAGGACTTTACACCTGAGTGCGGTGTAATTGTCAATAAGGGTCTGATGATGAAGTAGTACGATAGTTGAGGGAACTCTTTAACGGTCAACAGTAGCTATTTTGTGTTTAGGTTTGATTAATTTGTATTGATGAGGACTTTACACCTAGATGGGGGGGTGATGGTCATTAAAGGTCCAATGACGAAGTAGTATGATAGCTAAGGGACTCCTCAATGGTTAAGAGTACCCACCCGGTGTTTGAACTTGCATAATTTGTATTGATGAAAACTTTGCATCCATGTGGGTTTTGTATAATATAATATATCAAAGTACTAAACTAAAAAGTATAAAATAAAATAAAAAAACTGCGTTTAAAAAAACCGACTTCAAAAACAAATGACAAACAAAAAGTAAAAACTAAAAAGGAAAAAAAAAACTATTAGTGGTCATACGTACTTATAGCTTACACACCCACTGATAGGTTAGAAGTCGGTGCCACAAACCCACAATAAAATATAAAGTAGACAAAAGTCACAGCTGGTATAATCCATAATAAAATTGTAAACAGCTCAATAATAATGTTAGGTATCTATTAAGGTTTTAATGAATAATTTTGTTTAAAAACTTGTGGCACCGACTTCTAACCTATCAGTGGGTGTGTAAGCTATAAGTACGTATGACCACTAATAGTTTTTTTTTCCTTTTTAGTTTTTACTTTTTGTTTGTCATTTGTTTTTGAAGTCGGTTTTTTTAAACGCAGTTTTTTTGCATTATTGATTTACATTATTATATTATTGTTAATCTTAAATAAAATTGTATTTTCTATATCTTTATATATTCGAAACTTAGTTGATTCGTCATAAATAACAAAACACATTACCGTAA